AATTAAATTTAATTAATTTTCAATTTATATTAATTAACGTTTATTAATAATTAATATTAGTAATATTTAAATTTTATTATATATATTTATAATTAATAGTGATAATTAATATTAATAAGGGTTATAATTAGAAAAAATGATAATAAGCTAGCAAAATGCTACTCTAAGTAGCGTTTCAATAAGCTAGCTTATGTGCATCCAACGTGTACCCAGAAAATAAGATACCTTATAAACTAACTTATTTTTGTCAAACAATGCATAAACCGTCCATTCCTTTGTCTCTATTTTATTTAGAGTAAACTACAAGTTTGGCCCCTGTGATTTGTTGAAAATAACACTTTTTGTCTCTAAGATGACTTATAAAAAAGTCCAAATTTAGTATCACCCTCAAACAGTCAGAAAATTCCGTTAAATTAAAGACATTTTCATCATTCTATCGATCTTTTTATCTCTTACCCAATTAATTTCGATCTTATGATTTTAGCTGGATGGTTTTTTATTCGATAAAATACAAAAAAAAGATAAAAGAACAAAAATGCACTAATCTAACGGAATGTTTTAACAATCGCTAGATGGAGGGATCATAAGCATACGTTTTTGTAGACCATGATAGCCATCTTATAATTATAAAACATTAGGGACCAAAAGTGTTATTTCGACAAACCATAGGAACCAAATTTGTACTTTTTTTATTTTACTTTTCTAATTAAAAGAGTTGTTTTTGTTACAAGACAAAATATCCATAATGTCGTCGAGTTTAACGACTTTTATTTTAATGCCGTAACATTAGGGTCAAATATTTTATTGGATAAAAAAAGGTTATGACGACCATTAAATAGTTTTTGCTTTATTTATAAAACATAATGGTCTGACTAAAAAGGGATATCCACAATTAGATACGAGAAAAACTGATAAAAATCTCTTGTTCATATCTTTTGAAAGTGGCATGATTTAATATATATATATATATATATGTTTTTATATTATATTATTGTTATATTTCTTTTGATTTTAATCACTGTTCTAAAAGGTTGTTTGTAACGACTGCTATGACATGTTATGATTGAAGGCTTGTATCTTGTGCTATCATAAGCTTATGACTTACCGTAGTCTAGTGCACGGTTTTTGTAATATTATATTTGATTTTTATTACCTTTTAATGGTTTATTTGTTAGTTTCTAACATATAATTTAATTTAAATTGTTTTATATCATTGACTCATTGTGTAAAATAGAATCAATCATCTATCTTCTTTTGACCTGAACAATGTTGGATTGGGGAAGTCCACAACTATCCAGAAAAAGTGAATGAATCAATTTTTAATACCCTAAAGGAACAATTAAGTGAACGGACTATTTGTTTGTGAAGGCCGAAGGATTGAAAAATGAGGTTTTTGGTGATACATGCATGCATGCATGCATACATACATACATACATACATACATACATACATACATACATACATACATACATACATACATACATACATACATGGAATGGTTCAAACGAGAAAACCTTCATTTTACGAGAACATGAGAATACCTTTTTATTATAGACAATCACATGTGATACTATTATTCCATCACATATGATACACATGTGATACTAAATCAGAGACATGAACGATTTTCGGCGCGATCTTTGTTGCGGGCCAAGTCGTCCTTACACCACTAAGCCCTCTCACATGTATTATCACATTTGATAAAAGTGTTGTTGATATGATACTATAATCCATCAAGACCATCACATGTGATGCTAAATCATAGACACAAAAAACCTTTGGCGCGACCTAAGTCGTAGAACACGTCTTCCGCATACCACCAGGTCCCCTCACGCGTATTATCACATGTGATAAGGGTGTTCTCGCGTTCTCGTAAAATGAAAGTGTTCTCGTTTGAACCTTCACCTATAGATATATGGGGACCTTCTTTTGAGAACTCAATAAATTATGATAACCTTGAGAACTAATGCATCATGTTTTATTTCACGTGATCTTTTCCATCTATGGCTTGGATTTAGTGTATTGATTGACATATATTTGTTTCACATATATTAGTTTCACAATGTGTTTGTTTCACATATATTAGTTTCACAATATGAGCACTTTTTACAGTTTGTGAAAAAATACAACTAAAAAGTTTCACATTGTGAAACGAATACATATGAAAGAAACACATTGTGAAACGAATACATACGAAACAAACACATTGTGAAACACATATATGTTAATCAATACATTAAATCCAAGCCATAGGCGAAAAAGATCACGTGAAATAGCACATGATGCACCAGTTCTCAAGGTTATCACAATTTATTGGGTACTCAAATGATTGATTCTCGCTGGATCTCACGGTATGCGGTAACCGTGAGATCTAAATGTGAACCAATCATTCAGGATAATTAATATGATTTCTTAAAATAAGTAGAAGGATAAATTAGTTAATTGGTGTGGAGTATTCAATTTACTTTAATTACTTTAATATTCCAATTTTGAATTTAATTAGTTGTATCTCTCAGTCTCACAAATGGATCGACGAGTTCCTTCCTTCTCCCTCAACTCCGGTATTGACCTTCATTTTCTCCGATGACCTTCCTTCTCCCTCAACTCTGGCCACCACAACGTCATCTCACTATTCATCATATGCATTCCATAAAGCGTCGA